GGTAAAAAATATATATTAAAAAATATAGGGTTATTAAGTACTTAATTTTGATATTTATTTGTATTCAAGTACATAATTTGAATTTATCTATTTTTATTGTGATATTTTTGCCCTCCATTAACCCATATGTATTTAATGCACCACTTTTTTTTAANTTAAAGAACACTTAACCAACCCAATCTTACAACAAAAGATTGAAAGGTTTCGTGAAAGTTTGGAAATAGAAGTATGTTCCACTCTTCCTACAGCCTTCTGGCATAGGAAAAAACATATGGTCAGACTTCCCTATATTAAAGGATTTGAGTCAGATACTTGCCAAAGAAATAGCCCGTATGGACTCAGAAAGCACTAAATTNGTGGAAATATGCTACTCAGAAATCCATTGCATTTAATACAAAGATATTGTTAACCCAGGGTCCAGGGAACTTATAGTTGTCAAGGTTACCCCAGGAAAAATAATGGGAAAACATGACCAATACCATTTCATTTCAGCGATGAATAAGTTATAAGATACACCAANCAAAAAGGAGGTGGAAATATGCTACTCAGAAATCCATTGCATTTAATACAAAGATATTGTTAACCCACGGTCCAGGGAACTTATAGTTGTCAAGGTTACCCCAGGAAAAATAAAGGGAAAACATGACCAATACCATTTCATTTCAGCGATCAATAAGTTATAAGATACACCATAGGAAGAAAAATATAAAACTTACAATACAAGCAAATAGAAATAGAATCATTTGAATTCAGTTGAACAACCAAAAAACCACTACGTAAATTTTTTTTTGAAAACATTTGATTTCAAAACGAAAACAACAACAAACAAATCAATATCCAACATATTCACAGAATAAAATAAACTATTTAATTAGTCCTACGCATTAAGAAACGAGTAGTCAATTAGTGCCCAAAAAAGCTGGAAGAAATCCCAAAAAAAAAAAATCAAGCGGCCAAGATACAATGCTGAAATCTGTAAAACCCCAAGTCAAAGACATCGCAATCCCAGTGTACACAATCTAATCAAAGAGATCAAACTCAAAGAAACTAAAAGGTTGTATAAAGTTAAATGGAGAGGCAAATATATTACATATATGTCGCATATACAAAATAAAAGGATTCAGGATGCTAATTTCTTTTAACTTACAACATTTTCTCAGAGAGAAAACATAGACGACGTCATTTTTTCAGCAAAAAACATATACGTTTCCATGCACATTCCCTATCGTTATACGAACTAAATCGCATAAAACGCATGAAATAGAAGAAGCTATCATTGACATTGATTTAGGCGTCAATACTTACAGAGCCGCCTACGAAGCTCGAGCACAACCAGCAATGGACCTCTCTCTTTTGGAGATTCAGGCGTTCTGTGGATTTTATAGATGGGATGATAAAACCCTAGTTTTGGAAGGGTTTTTTTATCTATTGGGCCAAGCCTAAATGTTCCAGACAGCCCATTCTGAAATGCTTTAATGAATATGGGCTCAGCTAAGAGGTTTTCCTTTAGGGTAAATTACATCAAATTAGATTTATTTGGTAAAAAATATATATTAAAAAATATAGGGTTATTAAGTACTTAATTTTGATATTTATTTATATCCAAGTACATAATTTGAATTTATCTATTTTTATTGTGATATTTTTGCCCTCCATTAACCCATATGTATTTAATGCACCACTTTTTTTTAAAAAGTGGTGCATTAAACATCTTCTAGTTTTATGAGAGAACTTTAATATATATATATATATACTTGTTGTTAAATTGATTATCTAAATTTTGAATTATCTTTTAATGCGCCTTGATTCATGTATTTTTATTTTTAGAAAGTGGTTTTATTTTTAAATTAATTTAATATCTTAACAGTGTAATAGTGTAACAATAACAGCGTAACACTGTAACAATAACAGTGTAACACTAATAATGTAACAGTATAACAATAATAGTGTAACAAGCTATTTATACAAAATATTGTACTATTACATTTTTTCAAACATATATTTTTANAATAGAATCATTTGAATTCAGTTGAACAACCAAAAAACCACTACGTAAATTTTTTTTGAAAACATTTGATTTCAAATTGAAAACAACAACAAACAAATCAATATCCAACATATTCACAGAATAAAATNAAGGAAGAAAAATATAAAACTTACAATACAAGCAAATAGAAATAGAATCATTTGAATTCAGTTGAACAACCAAAAAACCACTACGTAAATTTTTTTTTGAAAACATTTGATTTCAAAACNCTCCGTTTTGAAATTGTTACCATATACACAAAATTACTTAAAACTGTTTTTGTTACAGTGTTTTTGTTACATTGTCTTTGTTACAGTGTATTTGTTACACTGTTATTATTATACTATTACATTATTCGGATATTAAATTAATTTNGTAAATTTTTTTTGAAAACATTTGATTTCAAATTGAAAACAACAACAAACAAATCAATATCCAACATATTCACAGAATAAAATAAACTATTTAATTAGTCCTACGCATTAAGAAACGAGTAGTCAATTAGTGCCCAAAAAAGCTGGAAGAAATCCCAAAAAAAAAAAATCAAGCGGCCAAGATACAATGCTGAAATCTGTAAAACCCCAGTCAAAGACATCGCAATCCCAGTGTACACAATCTAATCAAACAGATCAAACTCAAAGAAACTAAAAGGTTGTATAAAGTTAAATGGAGAGGCAAATATATTACATATATGTCGCATATACAAAATAAAAGGATTCAGGATGCTAATTTCTTTTAACTTACAACATTTTCTCAGAGAGAAAACATAGACGACGTCATTTTTTCAGCAAAAAACATATACGTTTCCATGCACATTCCCTATCCTTATACGAACTAAATCGCATAAAACGCATGAAATAGAAGAAGCTANAAAATTGTTAGCTCCCAAAAGGTAATTAGATTAATTTATATTTATATCCTTATTAATTGCATATTCTTTATAATTGTCATGTTAAGTATCATTTGTATAAGGGGCACAATTTTAAAATACTTTTATATAACTCATTCATGGTAAGACACTTGGTCACATTATTTAATTTTTTTTTTGTTTTTATAATAAAATTCTAAATCACATGTATTTTTTTTTTTTGTTTTCTCATACCGAACAATAAAAAATAAATTCCTATACTATAAATTCAAGCAAAGTCAATTGTATATAAGTGACTTAAATATTGATTAACAATAAATGATTTATCAGCAAGAAATGTATAAGAAATTTAGATAATTGGATCCATATTATATTAAATCACAACATTTCTTAAAGATTCATTGATGCAAATTCAAATCGATTCTAATTCTAAAATTTTATATTTCTTTTAGGGTCCTATTAGCTTTATGATTAGGTATAATGATTTATTTTACTTTGAGAGATTAAGATTTTACGTTCTACTTAAATAATATGGACTAATATTATGCTCTATAAAAACTTGATATTGTGTTTAATTATAGAGATTTTTTTCGATATTGTACCCAAGTTATTAGTGCAAAAGTTTAAAGTTAAGTGGAGTAATTTGCTTCCGTCAAGCTATTTTACAATTAATCCTATAAATTATAAGGGGTACATTTGGTTATTGATATCAATCCCCACAGCTGACAATAAAATACCAGTTTGTCCCCCATTAAGATTACACCCATCCACACCAATTAAAAGCCTGCATCCTTCAATCAAACCTCTCTTTAATGCACCAAAACAAAGGTATAATCTTTTGAATTTGACTTTATCACCCCCTATAGATTTGGTTTTAATAATACATGTGGTTCCTGGGTTAATTATCCTTAGTTCTTCACAATAATCCCAGAGAATAGCATATTGCTCGTTATTAGTCCCACTAACATATGTCATTGCTTTAAGTTTTCCCCTATACACCTGACTTTTATGCATTTTCAGAACATTTTCCTTCTCAACTGTTTCCTTAAGTGATTTCATTGGCCATGTTGGATTTGATCTAATCCTCTCAACACATGTACTAGCTAGCTGCTTAGCATTTGCAGCCTTCACCTTCAAAGATCTGTTGCAGTTGTGATTGTTAATGTGTGTTTTAACCTGCATTGTTTTCTAACAGCCGCTCNTATTAGTCCCACTAACATATGTCATTGCTTTAAGTTTTCCCCTATACACCTGACTTTTATGCATTTTCAAAACATTTTCCTTCTCAACTGTTTCCTTAAGTGATTTCATTGGCCATGTTGGATTTGATCTAGTCCTCTCAACACATGTACTAGCTAGCTGTNCGTCAAGCTATTTTACAATTAATCCTATAAATTATAAGGGGTACATTTGGTTATTGATATCAATCCCCACAGCTGACAATAAAATACCAGTTTGTCCCCCATTAAGATTACACCCATCCACACCAATTAAAAGCCTGCATCCTTCAATCAAACCTCTCTTTAATGCACCAAAACAAAGGTATAATCTTTTGAATTTGACTTTATCACCCCCTATAGATTTGGTTTTAATAATACATGTGGTTCCTGGGTTAATTATCCTTAGTTCTTCACAATAATCCCAGAGAATAGCATATTGCTCGTTATTAGTCCCACTAACATATGTCATTGCTTTAAGTTTTCCCCTATACACCTGACTTTTATGCATTTTCAGAACATTTTCCTTCTCAACTGTTTCCTTAAGTGATTTCATTGGCCATGTTGGATTTGATCTAATCCTCTCAACACATGTACTAGCTAGCTGCTTAGCATTTGCAGCCTTCACCTTCAAAGATCTGTTGCAGTTGTGATTGTTAATGTGTGTTTTAACCTGCATTGTTTTCTAACAGCCGCTCTGAACTCACTTGAGTCTTTAAATAGCATACCTAACTTGAATTGTGGATCACTCATGTCAGTCTTGGCATTAAACACTAGGTATGTCACCCTATCTTCATCTTCCTTTGATGATGAATTTGGAATACTCTTTAGTTCATTTGAATCACAATCTTCACAAATATTTTCATCAGCAATACCCATTGTTGTTGTATTATCTTTCTAAAACCATTGTATCATGCAGCAGTACTCCATCCAAATCATACTCACTGTCATAGAAGTACTCATCATCTGAAGTCAAGTTGTCTGAGTGTTCCTCATACTGTGATGAATCACTGTCTAATTTATTATCAGAAGCCACAACATTACCACCCACATTATTTCCCCCATCAAATTGTTGTGCAGTTGGAATACAATTTGACTTTGATTGGCTCTGATCAAGGACATCTCCTCGGGTGTGTTCAACATATACATCAAGCATTTTGTGCTTGTTGACCCAACTACCCAAAATCAAGACATCCTCATCGTCATCTAAACCTTTCCATCCATTATGAATTCTAAGATGGAAATTGACAATCCCGCAGTACCCCAATCCTAGTGCTTTCAACATATTATCCAGTTCTATCAAAGAAAGCTCGTCTATGTGACATAAATCAGTGTGATTCACCTTCCCTCCAACATACACTTGATCATTCCCATGTTGGAATTGGCCACCATGATGCATTTTGATTGTGAAAAAACCATCCCCATGGTCTGCAGCCAAATTCAAACAAACAAAAAGACAACATTCACATGGGTATGTCTGATCCTACAAACAAAACAACCCAATTTGCAGTCATCGCTTTCAACACTCACGTGAATCAGATAAAAACAAAACAAAAACAATATAAGACAAAACACAAATCCATTTTTAAATAATATAATACAGAACACATACACTCAAATTTGAATAAAAGCTTTACCATAAACACTCACACTACACAAGGAATCTCTTACCATAATTTAGGGCTTATTGTTTGTATTTCTCTTTCTTTACCACCCAAGATATTTTTCAATTTTCAAGCTTCAATTCACTCANTGACCCAACTACCCAAAATCAAGACATCCTCATCGTCATCTAAACCTTTCCATCCATTATGAATTCTAAGATGGAAATTGACAATCCCGTAGTACCCCAATCCTAGTGCTTTCAACATATTATCCAGTTCTATCAAAGAAAGCTCGTCTATGTGACATAAATTAGTGTGATTCACCTTCCCTCCAACATACACTTGATCATTCCCATGTTGGAATTGGCCACCATGATGCATTTTGATTGTGAAAAAACCATCCCCATGGTCTGCAGCCAAATTCAAACAAACAAAAAGACAACATTCACATGGGTATGTCTGATCCTACAAACAAAACAACCCAATTTGCAGTCATCGCTTTCAACACTCACGTGAATCAGATAAAAACAAAACAAAAACAATATAAGACAAAACACAAATCCATTTTTAAATAATATAATACAGAACACATACACTCAAATTTGAATAAAAGCTTTACCATAAACACTCACACTACACAAGGAATCTCTTACCATAATTTAGGGCTTATTGTTTGTATTTCTCTTTCTTTACCACCCAAGATATTTTTCAACTTTCAAGCTTCAACCTTCAACCAAATCAGCAATGGAGGCCTTTGGAAAATGAACAAAACTGGTCAGCATTTGCACCACGTGAATAGGAGTTGAGGCAAAATCAATTCCATCGATCAATGGAGCCATGTCACCAAAATAAAAGAGGGAATTGGGTATGTGGGTTTTTACATGATTGCCCTCCAGGTTATCACGTGCATCTCACGTGATAGTTTGGGTTAACAGCAAGTTCGACGTCCATCAGTCTTGGAGCCATATTGTTACCAAATATTAACATTGAGAATGCAATTTAGAACAATTAATCTTTCGTGGTGCAAATTAAATTTTTTTAAATCTTTCAGGGGGCAAAGTGTCATTTTCCCTTCTTAATTTTGGTTTTTTTTTTATGGACTTTTTGCACTTTGGACCCTAAAAAATTTGAAATTTTTACTTTACAGTCTCAAATATTAAATTTTTCATATAACACCCTCAATTTACCAGAAGTATTGCAATGTAGTTCTTCTGTTATTTTTTCTATCAAAAACCAAACTCATTAATACTAACGAAAAAATTAATAGAAAGCTAACAAAAGAATCATATTATAATAATTTTAACACATTAAAGATGCAATATGAAAAATGTAATCTTTAAAAATATAAAATAAAAATCTTAAAATANAATCTTTCAGGGGGCAAAGTGTCATTTTCCCTTCTTAATTTTGTTTTTTTTTTATGGACTTTTTGCACTTTGGACCCTAAAAAATTTGAAATTTTTACTTTACAGTCTCAAATATTAAATTTCTCATATAACACCCTTAATTTACCAGAAGTATTGCAATGTAGTTCTTCTGTTATTTTTTCTATCAAAAACCAAACTCATTAATACTAACGAAAAAATTAACAGAAAGCTAACAAAAGAATCATATTGTAATAATTTTAACACATTAAAGATGCAATATGAAAAATGTAATCTTTAAAAATATAAAATAAAATCTTAAAATCTTTTAAGATACAAAATAAAATTCGTCTTTTTTTTTTTTTAAGTTCGCTTTCATAATAAAGGGTTAAATACAAATTGGCCCATATACTTAGAGGCGGCGGCAAATTAGCCCACTTTTCCTTTCTCACCAAACAATGAAAAATACTTCTTTCCGTCCCCTTTACTAGCCTCATTTTTCCATCTACTTGTTTTTCCCTCCTACCAAACAAGACATAAATCTTATAAATGCCCCATAAACCATAGTCTTTATCCTAATTTGTCCCTTTAATTTTAAATGTTCAAATTTATTTTTTGACTATGTAATTTATTTCAATCAACCCATTCTATCAAGATTCACCATTAAATAAGATAAATTAACGATTAATCATAACGAAATTTATCTCATTAATCTTAACGAAATAGATCAATTGCAATAAATTATATAATTCAAGAGAAAAATTAGAACAATTGAGNCCTAATTTGTCCCTTTAATTTTAAATGTTCAAATTTATTTTTTGACTATGTAATTTATTTCAATCAACCCATTCTATCAAGATTCACCATTAAATAAGATAAATTAACGATTAATCATAACGAAATTTATCTCATTAATCTTAACAAAATAGATCAATTGCAATAAATTATATAATTCAAGAGAAAAATTAGAACAATTGAAAGTTCAAGGAACGATTTAAAATAAAGGTCATAGTTTAGGGAACATTTAGAAGAGAATAAATCGTAATTAGATTGATGAGAAAATATAATGTTTTCCCTTGAATTTCAAATATAATGTTTTCCCTTGAATTTCAAAATTTTCAAAAATTATTTTATTTTTTGGGAAAAGGAGTTTTGATTCGGCTCTTTGGTAAATTTAGAAAGAAAAATGACATGTAACAATAAAATAAAATGATTACCTACCTCTAAAAGGTTCCAAAATTTTAATTTTTTTTTTCAAAAGGAGTTTTTATTCAGCTGTTTGAAAAATGCAAAAAGAAAAAAATAATGTGTGAGACTAATAAGATCAAGGAATTGACAAGGCTATCACATAAGCATGCTGGTGATGGGGGATTTGCAAACCTTCCATAACTGAGGTTTCATATAGCTGAATAGTGAAATTTCCACCATAAAACCAAAATGAGATAAGTGATTCCTGGGCAAGAAAGTATAGGATTCTCTCACTCACCTCTTGAAGAGTGAAGAGACAACCCCTAGAATCCTCAAACATTTAAAATGTACCATAATTTCAAACCTACACCACAGCATAATGTCCTCAAATTCTGTCCAGAACTTCGAAAAGTTGCAGGTAGATGACCAAAATAACCGATAAAATTTCTAGACAGCCTGAAGTTTTGAGGCGTTGCCGGAAATCTCATTTCACAGAGAAGGTGAATTTCGAGAGAGATGGAAAGTTGACAAGGCAATACGTATCAAACTACGAAGATTCTCCACGCAGCTCTGCCCAGGGCACTGATTATTGGCCAAATTTGAGGTAGTCAGCCTGTTAACAGAAAAACAAAATAACTTCTCAGTACTTACCTGACTAAATTCATGCAGATGCAATGAACATGTTCATATTACAACATTATCACACAAAACTCAAATAACAGCATCTCAGGGATCTCAAATTACCATGCTGTGTTGGAACTCAACACAGAACAGCAGAAATAATCCTCTCAACTGGTGGGAGATTGGAGGAGCCGATGATGGTAGCTAGCTACATAATAGATATCCAATACTGAGCCAACAGTGATGCAAGGCAGATTGCCAGGTGGAGCCACTATTAGTTGTATCACAATAACCTGAGGGCACCAAGTAAGCAGTACAACAATAGCACATCCCTGCGCTAGCCTCCAAATGACAAACTTGTGGTCTTCTCTTTACATCAAATAGTTGGCCTCTGATTCATTGTTAGGAGCCCTTCTTTCAATATATACGTTTGTTTAGGAACTTCTAATTGGACTGTTGGATAGAACTATTCGATGATACTGCAGTAACTGCACCATGCTGACTGTTTTGAACATGCAGCCAGGTAAAGATAAGAGTTACAAACCACAAAATAAACATACCATGGATTTGTGGGCACCACTATTCCCGAACACAGTTTTCTGACCTCATCTGTTCACTATTGGACAGCACAGTGCTCCTAACAAATTTTTTCTTCCCAAACTTCACGATAGTTTTGTTCCTTGTAACACCAGTTTTCTTCGACTTTGCCAACTTCTCTTTCCTCCCCTGAATGTCAGCTTGTATAGCTTTGTCTCTTTTCTCATCTGACAGCAAAGCCAGCCTTGCAAACTTCCTTGGCCTGACTTGCCCAAGCCTCTCATTTATATCCTTGAAAGCAGGAACAAGGCCTTTCCTAATGTAGCATCCCTCAATGAGCTGCATTGAGTTTGTCTGAGGGAGGGTAGGGCTGTTTTTCAACTCAAGGTCCAAGCAAAACGAGGAATCCTTCAACCACATCCTTAGGGAGTGAGCTTTTGCCACAAGGAGCCCGCTTCGAGTTCTACAGGGCAAAAATGGGGATCCCATTTCCCAAAGGAATGCCTTCAATGTGCTGTTCAAAGAAACATTGTTGTACTCTGATGTCCCCGTAATCAGAACAACAGATTTTGGAGACTCGGGGAAGCCCTCCAATGATGCGTCCTGCAAAAATTTAGTAGTCTGTCAGATGCACATAAATGGTGGCTTTAAGCTCCAGGCAAAGGAGGCTCATACCAACGATGCTCCGATGACATTGAACTAAGACCAATCAAGGGTTCAAAATTAATTGGAGAGATGATGATTCAGAGAATAAACTAGTCTATATAACAGTTGAACCAGATCCATGTGTATTATAGAGCATATATAATGAGATGGACAGATCTGTACTCAATAAATCATTCCTGTACCTTCAACTAATGGAGATCAACTAGGCAATGATCAATATTTCATAGCTTGCTACAGCCTATATTTTAAATCAGCACAATTTTAACAAACGACCACGACTTTTTTGGATGATGTCATGAGATGCCTCAAATGGCCTGATTTTGTGACTTTGTTAGTGGTTTTATTTTATATTTGTATGTTATTGAGATGAACATCTTGTATACATTTGATTCGGATGTGTAATCCTTTTTCTTTATTTATTAATATTAATAAAAGTATTGTTTCCTATCAAAAAAATTTTAACTAATGACCAAGGCGGCCAACCACATCTTATAAGATAAAGTATGCAAACACAATTTACAGGTTTGCATGTACTCTGATTTTAATCTTTGGACAAGTCAGGAAATTGGTTCAACTAAGAACTACATAGGACAATGCTGGACCACAACATTAGTAGAGAAGAGAGAGCTTATTCATGATAAATTGAAAATAAATATATAGAGAGCTAAAGAAACAGGATATGCAACCCCCAAATTGAAGATATGAGTAGATTTTTGAGATAGAGATTTTGCCTGCATGAGGTCAAGCCATAAAGTAAGACCAACCAAAGCAGCACCAGCAGACAACTTTCTAAAATCAGCCCCCCAGTCCTTGTCAGCTACCCTGAATAAGCAGAGAAGTTAGGGGCAAATAGATTCAAAGAATTCAAATTGCACTGACAAAGGCAAAAATTGGCATGAAAAGAACATAGTTTGATCGATAAGTCCAAACAAGTTAAATTCCTCTATCTTTCTAGTAATAGGTGCCACCGTCTTAAAACTAATGACAGAATCCAACTATTCAATGTCAGCTAATAAAAACTCCTCTATCTTGTCTGTCTGTAAGCTAAAAAAATCATATCTTTTGATGTCAGAAAGTTGTATATCATTATCAAGGTTCCTTAAGGCCCTTCCTAAAACTTTCAACTGTGGCTCATTTCCGCATAACCTGCCTCAAAAGTTTTCTACTGCCAAGAATATGAAATCCATATTCATGAATTCACCAACTGTCAAGAATATTATATCTTTTGCATCTTATAGGATGGGATCTCACATCAATGTTCCGTTAGCATTAGGCTCCTTGAAATAATGTTTGGCGGTAATCTCAGAATTTGCAAGCTCTTTTTTATATGAACATGACTAAATATGACAAACACATTGCATCCAGAGTTTGTGTGATAAGCAGCTACCTGAACACATTCTGGTCATAAATGTCTCTTTTAATCGCCAGCTGGAACACCAGTGAAGCAGTGGCCCGAAGTTCAAATGCCCACAACAGGTCTTCCAAAGCATTCACAAAATTAAATGCCACCTTATCATCTACTGGTTCCAGTTTCTCCAGATACTGGTCTATCTCCAGGACCAATGACTCTGAACTCTCAGTGAGAGTCCTGCAAAATTATAGTCAATTGTTTATTTGCATTCTCAGAGAATACGTTAAGAAAGACCTGAAGAAAAAGATCACAGTAGAAGTGACAAAAATCAAGGACCTGATTGGAAGATCAAATCCAGCATCTCTAATAGCCGTTAACAGAATTATGGCTTCGCTAATACTCTGGGACAAACTAGCAGCTCTAATAAAGCAAGTCCATATTCTGTGGTCTGGCTCTAGACCTTCTCTCTTCATCTCCAAAAGCTTCTGAACTCCTATATTGTAATCCCCATTCTTAAGATAGGCATCGATAACTGAACTATATGGTAGCACACTTAGAATTTCACCAGTTGATTTCAAACTATTAAGCACTTCTTCAGCTTCGGTGGGATGTCCAGAGCTGCCATAAGAGGTCATAAGCAGATGCATTGTAGCAATGGTGGGTTCTACTCCTACTTCTTTCATCGTGAAAAGTAACCTTTCAGCTTTAGAATGATTCCCAGAGCTTCTAAATATCTTCATCATTATGTGATAAAAAGAGCGGTCCAGTTTAAGTCCTTCAGATTGCAACCCTTCAAAAATCTCCTCGGCTTGTTCCAGCATCTGCTGTTTACCAAACGCTGTAATCAGGCTTTTGTAAGAGTCCAACTTAGGATTTAAACCAAGCCTTCTCATTTCATGCATCAGAGACAGACCTTCTTCTGGTTGGCGATCTCTACAGTACATTAAAATTAAAGTATTGTAAGTATCCTCATCTGGTTTCAGTCTGGCTTCTTGTATCCGTTGATATACTTGAACTGTCTTCCTAAAATCTTCAATTTCTGTATATAACTTAAGCATAGAATTCCAAATAGTTAGATCGGGATTAAATCCTGCTTGCTCCATCTCGGAAACCATGGCTTCAACATCCCTTACTCGTTTCCCCTTAGACAACAAACAAATAATAACTCTGTACAGATGCATCGTAGGAAAATACCCTGAAGCCTTCATTCCATGGTATATTTTCTTCACTTCGAATATGTTCCCCACTCGGGCAAATGCATCAAGCATCAAAAGAATAGAACTCTTACTAATCTTAAAACCCATGTCTTGCAATTCTTCAATTACCACATAGAGCTCATTTAATCTCCCATCAACAATCAAAGCTTGTATGAGACCATTAATGGAATCTACAGTTGGGGGAGGACCATCTCTCATCATCGTATTGAAAGCAGCTCTTGCCTTCTCATAGCAACCACTTGCAGCGTAAGCTTGTATTAAAGCATTCCAAGCCTTCCGGTCCACTGTACTACATCTCTGTCTAAGTCTCCCCACGACACTCTCTGCTTTCTCCAGTAGCTTCAACTTACCATAGACCTCAATAAGACCAACACAAATAGGAATATCATTAATAGGAATGCCCTTTGCTTCTGCCTGAAGAACCAAATAATGAGCCGTTTCTGGGAAGCCCAGGGTACAATACACAAGCGCCATGCATCGATAGAGATCCTGAGAAGGTTCCAAACCAATGAATCTCATGTCAGAAAACACCTGAGAAGCTTCCGCAAACTTATCATTGTCCTTGCAGGACTTTATAAGAGCTTCATACATGGCCAAACTGCCACTAAACAAACCAGAGTTCCAACCTTTGTTATACTCATCCAGCGCAGCATCCAACTGATGAGCCTTGCAATGAACAACCACCAGAGCTTCAATTATCAACTGACGGGATCCAGATGTCTGTTTTTTCATGAAATTTACCAATTCTTGTGCATCTGAGTGCCTTCCCGATGAACTATAAGAACTCAAAATTGATAATAAGTTCGCACAGTCCAAATCATAACCCTGTGTAATTGCTAATCTCAACATCTTAGCTGCATAATCGTAGCACTGCCCCTTAACTAAAAGGGATGAAATAACTTGCGGATTCAAGTCACATATTTCTTCCATATCCCTGACCACTTTTTGAATACCTTCTTCGTTGTTTTCTCTTCCAAGCACTCTAAGCATATCTTCATAAAGGGCAAGATCTGGGGTGAACCCATCACGAAGCATGTTATGATATAAAATCATTGCTTTCTTAGTGTCGTTAGACCTCAAATGGATATCCAACATAACTGAGTAAGCTAGATGATCCGGTTTGATTCCAGACCGCAGCATGCGATCAAACATCTCTTCAGCCTCCACTCGCTTCCCAGCCTTTGCATACCCACAGATCAAAGCACTGTGAGTACGCAAAGTGGGTTTAACACCTGTGTTCAGCATCTCTGACATCACATTTGCAGCCTCTGCTATTTTATTTCCTTTTCCAAGTGAATCAATCAGGATGGTGTATGTAACTACATCAGGATTTAGACCAGAGGATTTCATGTCTCTATAAAGTTGTGAAGCAAGATCATGCTGACCCTGCTTTCCATACAAGTGTATGATGGTATTATACGTCATCTCATCTTTCCCAAACCCCACTTTCTCCATTTCCTCACAAATTTTCTTTACTTTCTCTACATTCCCTTCTCTTGCAAATGCATAGAGCACAGAATTATATGTCACTGCATCTGGGAAAAAACCTTTTGATTCCAACTCGAAAAAGATCCGTTCAGCTTCGCTAGATAGGCCACATCTCCCAAACACCGAAATCATGGCATTATAGGTCCATAGATCAGGTTGGCATTTATGAGCTTCCATATCATCAAAAACCATTACTGCCTCCTCTAAATTGGATTCGCGTGAACAAGCACTGATTAGAGTGTTGTAAGTAATTATATCAGGTCGAAGGCCCGACCTCCTCACTTCATTTAGGAGTTCAATCGCCAAGTTTGGCACCATAGAGCTTGATTTCAAACGTGCATTTATCAAAGTATTAAAACTCACAAGGTCTGGCTCACACCCACGTTCCCTCATCAAATCAAGCAACTCTTGAACCTTAGTAAACCTACCATTCCGAGCATAAACACCCATCATCGCATTGTACACTTGGACCGTATTACCAACCCCTGGTTCCGCCCGGGTGAAAATTTCCACGGCCAATGATTCCTGATTGGCCTTGCCAAGGACTGCCAATATTGTTGCAAGCATCCGGGCATTAGGGGAGTACCAATGCCGAAGGTTCAGCCACTCGTAAACCTCCAATGCCCGGTGCCAGCTTGACTGGCCAACCCATTTCACCACAAAACAATAATCAGTTGGGGTCATTTGCACCATCTTTTCATCCAACACATCAGCCACAAATTCCTCTGATTTCAACTGTAAGATCCTATCAGTAAAAAATTGAACCCTCTGTCGCCAATCTTTAGCCCTCTTTAGTGCTAATTTAGTCATTTTCTTAGCCTTAGTCCTACTTGGCCTGCCCAAAACCTCCAGAGTTTCATCATTCATTTCCAAAGACTCCTCTCCAGATACCATCTGGGTTTCAGCTTTGCCCTTGGAATCTTTGGTGTTTATTGGAAAACAGGTACCGTCGACGACATGGGTCAGTGGGGGAGAGGCAGGGGTGAATTGGGACTGATCCGAACTGTGGTGGGTGTCTTTGAATTTCAAATGGGGCCATCTCACAGACGGGGAAGCTCTACTATAGCTAAATTTCTTTGTGGTTTCCTGTTCTGTAATTGTTGTTGAATTTGAAGTAGAAGAAGTTGAGGAATCTAAAGAGCAAGATACAGAAGTGTCCCCACGCACCTTTGATTTTGTAACGGAAGAAGTTGAGCAATCTATAGAGCAAGATACAGTAGTTCCCTTACACACCATTGATTTTCTGTTCGATTGTAATGGTGTCGTTGCAAGAGCCAACACTNCAGAAGTGTCCCCACGCACCTTTGATTTTGTAACGGAAGAAGTTGAGCAATCTATAGGGCAAGATACAGTAGTTCCCTTACACACCATTGATTTTCTGTTCGATTGTAATGGTGTCGTTGCAAGAGCCAACACTCCTTTGCATGCCATGCCTCATAGATTTCTTTTCCTTTTCGGGGATTCCTGGTTGTTCAAAGTTCCTACCAAATGAACGTTAGGGGTTTAATTTGGCTCCGGATGATCTGGTTGGGATACATATGTAAATATCTGGTTTAATATCTGTGTTGTCTATCTTGTCCCAACCCCTTGAATCTCCGGGGCATGTTTGAATGGTTTAGAAGGGAGGAATTGGATTACTTTTACCAAACCCTTGCAAATCTAAAGCTTTCTTGTTGCACATGGGATTTATAGTCCCCTCTAATCGTAGCATTACTATTTGTAGGACACGCGAATTAATTATAATTATAACTAAATACTTGTCATGCAATTAATTAAATTGTCTTATCCAATCTTTGTAATTGGATAGGTTAGGGATAGAAAAATTATCTTACCATTATATCGTAAGTAGGCTAATTTCAAACTTACCCATGATCTGAATCTTTGATTTAAAAATTTTAACCAAACATGAAATTAAGTTTTATATCGGACTATTTTACTTAAATTCACTATTCTAAAGCCACCCGAACTCATCACACAAACAACTCCTAAATGTCTTGAGTACGTAATATAAAAACGGGCATCGCTATGCATACCAAATTGTTACCAAAATTTATGTACTAAATTATTATAAATTGTTGAAGTAATGAGTCTCACTCATTACCATTAAATATTCAATACATACAATTTCGCCGCATCATTTTGGTAAACTCATTTGGAGGAAAGACAACTTTTAGATAAATTCCAAAGCTAAAACAGATGTCTATTAGCAACAGAATTTGGAAACTACAAAGAGGGTACTCCTCCATTTGATCATACTACAAATTATCCTAACTGCACTGAAATCTCTAGAAGAATTGCAGAAAATCCTTTAATTCATTTAAACCAACTTCTGTAATGACTTTCCTTTCTACTTGATAGCAACTTGATTTAATAGGCTATCCCATGAGGATGAGCAAAATGAAGTTTCACACATACTAACAATTGAATTCCAGTTGCTAGTAGGGTGGGTACATGCAATCAAAGAACAAATTGACAATGGTTCTGGTGCTGCTTTGCATAATATGCAATGAGGATCAATGTTTTTGCAACAAACAAGTGTTCTATTTTTAATTATGAGTTTCCTTCTAATGACTAGCCACATAATAAAGCTCTATCTGGGAACAACTTTGCCAAACCAGAGAAGGTGAGCCATACTGACACAAGGGGAAGAGGACCTGATGTGTTTCCAGGCAGATTCAACTGCAACCATTCGAAAAGGGAACCCAATGAACCATATCCTTTCTCTCATTGCAGGGTTTGTAAGCAGTCATTCCTCTCTGAATTGTTCTTAAATCAAGTGAATTAGCGGAAGGCCAAAGTGTTGGGCATTACACATGTGTGAATCCCACATCAGATTAAAAAATAAATTAAAGTGTCATAATATACTCTTGATTGGTTCATCACTTATAGGCTTAAGTTTTTAAGGAGGTATGAATTCAAACATGTATACTGAGTATTGGATTGATGAGCTCCTAGTCTCCCAACAAATGATATTAGAGCTGATGACTGATGATTCTTAGTGAACTCTTGAAGAAACGGTGTAATGTGTCGATGTTAATGGTGGCTCTTAAAAAAAGTGACGGGCTCNACAAATGATATTAGAGCTGATGACTGATGATTCTTAGTGAACTCTTGAAGAAACGGTATAATGTGTCGATGTTAATGGTGGCTCTTAAAAAAAGTGACGGGCTATTAATATTGAAGTCACAGAAGGAAAAGCACAGTGTGCGGTCCTGGGCGCAACGATTCTTAGAGAGTGGTAATATGGTAACTCATAAAGGGCAATAAAAACTTGGTAATTTGAAGGGCGGATTCTCACAAAAAAAAAAAATGGTTGAACCCAGTACTTGTGAAGAGTTATGGATCAAACTCAAGAGGGAGCTAAATCCAATGTGGTTTACACATGAGAGGGAGATTATTGGGTATAGCATGTATGGGAATCCAACTCCAGATAGAAAAATAAGTTAAAAGTGTTATAACATACTGTTAATGAACTCATCACCTAAACTTAAGCTTTTAGGTGAGTTTTAGTTCAAGACATGTATATAAAGTGTTAGATTAATAAGCTCCCAGTCTCCTAACATAAAGCCACTGGTCAGAGGCCTTGGATTATGAGAGGGCCATGGGGATGCCAATCATCAAACCAAAGTTTTGTATCTCTGCCATCACCAATTAAATGTTGGTAGGTGATCTTCTTGTTTAGCAAGAAAATCATATTAAAATCCTTCAGCTGAATGGTTGATCAATGCATGTGGAATTGCTGGAAGGCGTAAGCGTGGTCCACGCTTAGTTTCGTGCCCTTTATGATATGGTGTGAAACTATGGTTCCAAACAGAAGCTCCAAAGGAGAGGCAGAGGCAGAGGCAGGTGACATCTAAAACAAAAAAATTCTATGGGAGGACCACCACTGTAGATTGTCTCTCAATAGGGATCTGAATTTGGTTGAGATTCTAATAGTGAAGCCACAGTTGCTGATGGCTAGTGGGACCCCTCTCTTAGTTGGGGAAGGTCCCACTGCGTATTGGCAAATAATACCAACCACTCATACGCCTTTACTGTTGTCCACCTTATCTATTGAATGGATGATTGTGAATGATGACCGTTAAACACATTAAAGACAAATAAATATCCATTAAGGAACTCTCGCAACTGAGAACTTCTTCCATGTCAAAAGCTAGAGGACCAAATTTAACTGCCTACGGAATTTTCCCTTTTTCGCCATCACCCTACCCTTTTCACGTACATGTGCCTTCATTGCAGCCCAAGCAGAGTAAAGTGGGTGTAAAAAAGAGAAAAAGCCGAGTAAAGCAGAGTGGTGGTGGTGGTGGTTCGGGTTCGATACTTTCTAGATCTCATAAGTACTGTTATCTTTATTCTGCAAGAACATTTCAAATTAATGTGACTGATTCAGGAATCAAGAAAATAATCGACACAAGGTTAAATACCAAAAAAAAAAAAAAAGAGTGAAGTGACCGTGGGACTGATGGAGGTCACCATCAAAAGCCATTTTTCTCTTTACATAAGAAGAGTCATTCCTAAGGTCAAAGGCGAGTCAAAAGTACTGCCTTGTTAATGAAACTTTAAAGCAAGCAAATCATTACTGGGTATAACGAAGCAGAGGGGGTGAATCACAAAAAGTAACAAAGTAATTTCCATAGCAAACACCATAGTATCATAGCATATGGCCTTATGTACATAACCAGATAGCATGAGAGTTGCATGTGTGTCCTTCATCATTGCCTTCCTAGTTAGTTACAACCCCATACTATGGACATAAGAAGGCTATTATTCTACCGTACTTGATATATTTATAGTAGACTACTAGGGCAATCCAATCCACAAAACCAAACTTATTATAGAGTAGTTTCTTAACTGTCCTCTATTTAAGCTATATATTTAGATGAGGACAGCCAGCCAGTGACTTTCTCGTCAAGGATGGGGAGGCTTTTCCAAATCCTCCAGGGAGCGGAAGAAGGCCTTCTGCTCCAACACAGAACCCTCACTGGCAACCACGTGCGAGGTGTGGAAGGCACGCTCTCCACCGTCAGTCGCCGGTCCAAACACACCAGTTTTGGGGTGTGGAGCCCAATACTTGTCAGATTGGGGCTCGATTACTTCATCTGGGACCACTGTTGAATGGATCTGATCATCCGGGTTCTTGTCATACACCGAGACATGCACAGCCCTCCTGCACAAACACATACAGATTATTGTGATCACAATTTATATCAATGCAGCTGAGAATCCTTTGACTAAATTATATAAACACAGTATCCTTATCTTAGCTCTGGAACAAATATGAATCTGATAAGCAGGCAGTTTGAATTGACAAAAGGATACACATAATTAAATGCTGAACAAGGATACGATAGTCATTTGGTCATTTAGAATCATTTCCTTTGTCCCCATCACCCCTATTCAACTACCCACCTTCCATTCCCAAGTTGTAGTTAAATAATAAAAAACCTAAATACACGCAACAAGATAAGGACTAGCCACAGACCACCACAAAAACAAATGACAAGTGTGAAGTTTTTTTTTTATGGGCAAATGACTAAGTCTGAAGTTGATAGCAAGCAAAAACAAGAGGTAAATGACAATAACAATATTAAAAGTGGTGACCACATTTCCATTCTCCACCGTAGTTAAGTAAAACAGTAAGCATGTTAACTCATCAATATCCACCAGTGATTATATCGCTTGCAACATGAGAACCAAGGCCACGAATAAGTACATATATTGGAACAGGAAGATGTTATACAACCCAAATGACTCTATTGGAATAAATTAAATGATGGAGGTAGTGAGCCTACCAGCAGCCAGATTGTGACCATCTAGGAGTCAAAGCATGAATCCCCAAAAGAGAGGCCGTGCGACACAACTATTGGTTACAAGTCAAATTTGGGTGCTTTGAATTGATGAAAAAAATTATCCTAATGTGGAAAGTTGTAATTTCCTTGGAAAATTTAAACTACGGATCCAACCTCTTCCTCTTGGAGAGAAATCAACAAAAAGTAAGACACGGTAAAAACAGGATAAATATCTAGCATAAGAGTTTCCCTTCCAACAAATCCCACCACCAAACAGGTCACATGCATCCCCCACTACTGATAGAGAAATCAAATCCAATACAAGCATGAGCAATTTTGTTGCTTCATGGAGGGAAAAAATGGTAGAACCCCACATGTACAGACATACTACCTTTCAATCTTTTTCTGATGCTTCGAAGTGGGCCAAGAACACGCACTATCCACCAAGACGAGCCAAATCTTATCAAAAATATAAATATAATGTCGAATTTTGCAAAATAACATAAATACCCCTCAACAGGCAACCTGCGGTAAATCATGTCACGTACGGACACCCACAAGGGTAGGCAAGAAGCCATTATCAAGACACATCCCAATTAATGAGCCGGAAAAAACTGGAAATAAATTAAATCCGAAAGGACATGGCTATATATCTCGTTAAGGATAGAAGTCTTGGAAATTCTCCTCCATCACGAAAAATGTTTTCCAACAAACATATAAACAATGCGAACAACTTTTTTGTGATATAGAGCGATGTTCCCAGCTTAGACAGAAAGGGATGGGATCTGCTAATCAGGTTAAAGAGATGAACTCAATTCATAAACCTACTAGTTTTTTCCACCACCTACAATCCCCAGCAAAACGAGAGGATCCACAATACTTCGTAGCTAAATCTATTAATCTACGTTTTTCCCTTTTGTTGACGATCATAGAATTCCAGAAGGCCAGTGTAATCAAATTCACTCCACGCACAGATTTAGCAATGAAGTTTACAAATAAATGAGACAAAAATCATCAGTAGAGTGCCATTTTTTCAATGCATAGTCAGCCATAAATAATGGGAAAAAATGCGCAGATTTCCAAAAAAGCTGTGTAAGGATCAGAAACTAAGACGGAAAACCATACGAAATGAGATAATCAATGAAAAGTCCGCATCAACCTACATAGTTATTTGGATTCTCAGATATACACCTCTGGCCTATACACATATATCAAAACCGAAAAACATGTGGATTTGCCCAAAATCTTCAAGGATCAGGAATTAAATCATTAGACATCAAACAATCTTGAAGTCTCCACCTCATTGAACGTATAATCAAAACTCTCACAACATAGCAGCCAAAAGAAAAAATGGAGCAACACAAAAAAGGTATTCAGTAAAACAATACACGTACCTCAGAGTGAGTGAAGAAGACTGAGTTGAATCGCGAGCACTTCCAGTGCAGATCTGATTGACGAATCGCTTCCCCAAGCTCACGAATCTCCGACTCTGCAAATTGGAGGCCATACAATACAAACTCTACGTGGAGAGAGAAAGTGGATACAGCAACCAGACAGTGAGCAAATGAAAGAATAGCTTGTACTTGTCTATCAACAATGACCGTAACACCACCTTTTTATAGAGTTGTTGGTGTGCTGTTCGCCCCCAGCCAACTAACTGCCTCTCTTCCTCAGTCCGCACCTACCCCGTACGATGGGTACAATATCCCATCCAAACGGACCGTCCTTTTTAACGGTTGCCGTTAAGTAACGGAATCTAATTGGCCCAAGAAACGACGGGTGCGTGTAATTAAAATTAAAGATAAACCTCTTCATAGTTTACCTCAAACCTCCTTAAAGTGTTAAACCACAACTAACATTGGAATTGGAGAAGGTAATGAGAATCAAAAAAGAATATTCGGTTATTTTAAACTTGGAAAGTCGCCGGTAACTCTAGGCGGTGCCATAAACTCCATTAATTATGGGGTTGATTATTTTATATTGTTGGTCATAGAAAACACATGAATTATTGAAGAATGACCACTGTGTCCTCTGACCTTGGCGACTTTGATTTGTCATGGACACGTCAAGAACGCTGGTTACCTATTTGAGGAAAGATAGAATGGCTGCGCCCTCAGTTTGATGCTGTGGGTCGGTCTCTCTCTCTCTTTAGAGAAAAGAAGATGCTTGATTTGATTGTCAACGCACCATAGCACTCCATTCTTTTTTCAAAAGCAATCACATCCAAATTCAAATAAAACAATGTTCGGAGTTTCTAATTCGTCTCAATTCGTTGTCATACATTGGGTCGAAGAACACTTGTAAATTGACGTATCATTTACTTTAAGGCATTTTCATCTTTCGTTTAACTTGATAGTTGTTGCTTTATTTATGATGGTGTTCGAAATCAATTGGATCAAACTACAAAACAAGTTACAATGTGATTTAGAGAATAAATGTACTTGTGTATACATTAGAAAATGTGTTAAGTGTTAGATGTAAGATGAAAATAATAGTATGAGCTGTTCACGCTAACCGAATGACTAAAGTTACGTCTATTACAAAGGAAGCTCTTCCTACTTGTAAATTGTATTACTTGAGAAAGAAAATTGTTATTACAAAGAATTTGGCCGGAAGCCTTTTACATAAATATTGTCTAAGTTTCTATTGGGTAGTTTTTCTCTATTTGTTTTTGTGTGGTATCGTTAGCTATTTATATATCCAGCTCTTAGGATTTTGGTTCTGATACCTTTGTGTTGATTTTGTGTTCCCCTCTATATTTGTCTTCTTAGAGTTGTTATCCTTGATGTTTTTTTACACCCATTACGCATCGATAGGAATATGTGAGTCATCTTTATTATCGGTAGGTATTAGTTCATCAGATATTGTCCCCTTATCCGCTGTCCATATGTCATGTTGCAGTTCTTGTTAACTAGTCTGGTGTAGTGCTCCCATTCCCCAAGCTGGTACTTATATTGGACCTATCAATATCGAGTTATCACATATTTCGAACTANTTTAAACTTGGAAAGTGGCCGGTAACTCTAGGCGGTGCCATAAACTCCATTAATTATGGGGTTGATTATTTTATATTGTTGGTCATAGAAAACACATGAATTATTGAAGAATGACCACTGTGTCCTCTGACCTTGGCGACTTTGATTTGTCATGGACACGTCAAGAACGCTGGTTACCTATTTGAGGAAAGATAGAATGGCTGCGCCCTCAGTTTGATGCTGTGGGTCTCTCTCTCTCTTTAGAGAAAAGAAGATGCTTGATTTGATTGTCAACGCACCATAGCACTCCATTCTTTTTTCAAAAGCAATCACATCCAAATTCAAATAAAACAATGTTCGGAGTTTCTAATTCGTCTCAATTCGTTGTCATACATTGGGTCGAAGAACACTTGTAAATTGACGTATCATTTACTTTAAGGCATTTTCATCTTTCGTTTAACTTGATAGTTGTTGCTTTATTTATGATGGTGTTCGAAATCAATTGGATCAAACTATAAAACAAGTTACAATGTGATTTAGAGAATAAATGTACTTGTGTATACGTTAGAAAATGTGTTAAGTGTTAGATGTAAGATGAAAATAATAGTATGAGCTATTCACGANCTATTACATCAGCCAAACTATCCAGAAATTGCGTACTTGTCAACCCAACTCCTCCCCCCATCCCACCCAACAACCAAAAAAAAAAGTCAGCCCATTTTTTAATATGTTTTTGTTATAAAACGTTCAGGTTTGTGTCGATTACTATCGTTATTGAAATTGAATTAGAGCATGTTACTAAAAAACAAAAAAGAATCAACCCTGTGACATTTGAGTTACAAAAAATTAAACTCTCAACTACTGAATTAAATTAAAAGTTCTCATCTCATCTCTCGATTTTACCCTTCTTTTCTTTTCTTCAAATTCNAGGAAGCTCTTCCTACTTGTAAATTGTATTACTTGAGAAAGAAAATTGTTATTACAAGGAATTTGGCCGGAAGCCTTTTACATAAATATTGTCTAAGTTTCTATTGGGTAGTTTTTCTCTATTTGTCTCTGTGTGGTATCGTTAGCTATTTATATATCCGGCTCTTAGGATTTTCGTTCTGATACCTTTGTGTTGATTTTGTGTTCCCCTCTGTATTTGTCTTCTTAGAGTTGTCATCCTTGATGTTTTTTTACACCCATTACGCATCGATAGGAATATGTGAGTCATCTTTATTATCAGTAGGTATTTGTTCATCAAATATTGTCCCGTTATCCCTTGTCCATATGTCATGTTGTAGTTCTTGTTAACTAGCCTGGTGTAGTGCTCTCATTCCCCAAGCTGATACCTATATTGGACCTATCAATACCGAGTTATCACATATTTTGAACTGGTTTGTTTTAGGGTTCTATGGAGTTGGGCTACAGTTCAATTTGTGCCCAATAAATGCTATCTAAATAAAATGCTTAGGTCACATTATGTGAGTCCAAAGAATTTTGGGCACTATAAAGGACCTAAACTTAAATTCATACGAAAGATTTTATGCAACAAATCTGAGTAGTCATTGAAGAGTATTTTTTTTTTTTTCTATGTAAGTGGTTGTGTGCCGTGTGCAGATGTGGACAAGGGGTGTATGGGAGCTACAATGATGGATCTGGGGGTAGGCTAACTTGTTGGATCCGCCCCCACCGGAAACGATGTTATTTATGGTCATGTCACCACCCACCACGCCCACTGGCCTTTCCAAAAATTGTATAATCTATGTTCCTTGGACCAAAGGCATGAAACCTAGTTTATTATAGTTGCAGCCCCTTCAAAAAAAAAAATTATAATTTATATCCTTAAAATATGTACCTAATTTTTATTTGACCCTTCAAGTTTTAATTGCAACAATCAAGCGAAATGACCTTCCGTGACTAGCACATTATGACTTGGGGAAAGATTGTATTTTTTTGGTAAAAAAACCTTTTTACATATAGATTAAAAAATCTTACTTTATTTCATCTGATTTGAAAAAGATAACAAGCAAAAAAAGAAGAAGATGCAATGTAAGAATTTGATAGATACTACGAGATAAAAAGAGAAATATCCATGTATTTAAGAGATATATTTTTTTTAGATAAATATACTCTTATGGGCAAATCTTGTAACGTTCTTCTGTCGGATCAAATTAATAGATTTAGATGGAAGGATTGGATTGAAATTTGATTAAATGTTTCAATTGAAACTTCGAAGACTAAATAAAAATTATGTATATATTTTTTGAGTGTGTAAATTATAAAGTACCCTAAAAACTATTATAACAAAACAATACTGTATGAAGTTTAGAAATAGACATCTTATCTCTATCCTAAAAGTATAGGTAATACATAGCGTCTATCCAATTGCGAATTTGTGTCGGTTATAAAAATCTAATGAAGATTGGCGTGTGAGCTTCCGTAAGAAATGAACCTTATACTTATAGGGCTTACCCAGAAACTCCCTACTTTACGGGAAGGTACTATTTGGCTATTACATCAGCCAAACTATCCAGAAATTGCGTACTTGTCAACCCAACTCCTCCCCTACCCCACCCAAAAAGCCAAAAAAAAAGTCAGCCCATTTTTTAACATATTTTTGTTATAAAACGTTCAGGTTTGTGTCGATTACTACCGTTATTTGAATTGAATTAGAACATGGTACTAAAAAACAAAAAAGAATCAACCCTGTGACATTTGAGTTACAAAAAATTAAACTCTCAACCACTGAATTAAATTAAAAGTTCTCATCTCATCTCTCGATTTTACCCTTCTTTTCTTTTCTTCAAATTCTCTGTCAATCCCAACCACAAAATGTGCAAAAACCACGCACGTAAGCTGGATTAATTACGAATCATTCAACATGATTATTTGAATAGTGTGAGTTATAATTGACTAATATTCAACATACATTCAATATGATGCAACGACTAACTTCAGGGGCAGAGCTAGAAAGTCATGTCAGGGTGAGCACAAATATTTTAATAAAATAAATTTTTTTTTTACAATCAATAGAAATAGGACAATAATTTATTGTAAAACCCAAAAAAAAAAATAAAATTTTTTTTATTATTATTATTATTAAAAATCTAAATTAAATGGGTCACATAATAATTAATTGTTAGTATAAGAGTCAAAAACGTAAAAGTTTTTTTTTTAAAAAAAGGTAAATTTATATATATATATATATAAATGTGTGTGGAAGACTTAGTCTTTCACTTTTTCCTTTCTCCAGCCAGTGCCGAGTGAGTGGGAGAGAAAAAAGAGTTTAGTTTTTTTTTTTCTTTATTTTACTCATTTCTTCTTCTTCAGATCTACAAAGATTGGACAGTTAAATCGCTTCGGACCAAGAATTAAAATTGCTCTATGCAGTAAGAGCTACGCAACTACACCAAATATCGTATTTTTCTCTGAAAGAATATCAAAGTCGATAATCTAATCCTAAGGTTTAGAAAGTTAAATTTGAGTTTCCTTGTAGTTCTAATAAGTGGGCTCACGCTACAAGAGGTAGGGTTTCTCCTATTTAGATTTAATTTCAACTTAAAATATGACATATGGAATTGGTAGGCTATGAGTGTATATCACATGTTAGGTTTTGACTAGTGTAATTAGTGGGTCAAATATAGGATTTATAATTAATCTTGTGATTAATAAAATCATATTACGATTAACTTGGTGTAAGTTAATGTTAG